GGACTCTTCAATCACTTGCATGTGGAAAAGTTCGTGTTCTTCAGAAGGTGTGCAATTGTCACAGGATTTATTCATTCTTTGTTGGTACTGAGTTCTTTAAATAATTGAAAGCATTTTCAGCACCACATTTACTAAAAGAACTAAGCTTCCTGACAGATTCCTAAAGGTAGAGAAGTAGAAGATGATGATTCCTTCATGTTCAATGATCAATTTACTGCTCCTCTATACCGTATAAAGGTACATCTGGTTTATATTGTTGATGAAAATTACTGATGATCTGTTGTCTAATAGATGTGACAAATGCAATGCTGTCACGGTTGGGACCCTTATTCGGTGCAACCGGTCTTTGATCAAGGGGTGAGACCCTTACCTATTGAAGTTAGTTAGTAAAAAACCCATAACTCAGAGAAATATCATAATAGAAGAGAAATTCACAGAAGGCTGGAAAATAGTACGCCCGGTTCATCAGGTTCTACCACTGCAGGGCCCAATCATAGTCAAAAGAAGAGTTTGATCCTGGCTCAGAAGGAATGCTAGCTATATGCTTAACACATGCAAGTCGAACGTTGTTTTTGCTTGAAGCTAAATTTTGGGATGAGTATCAAGTAGTATAAAGTGGGACACTGCTAGTAGGGGATACTTATTGTCAGCTTAAAGCTTAATCTTGTTTAGAATTTGCAGAATATTACAATTATGGGCGCTCATGTAGCAACTTGAAGCCATGCTTTGTTAAACACATACAGGTGAATGCAATCCAGATGAAGGAAACAGTAGAGGAGAACACAAGCACCACTGAAAGGGTGTTTCAGGACCGTCAATATCAGGTCTACGATTTTCATGTGTCCTAAGCTTTTCTTTTAGATTTTGATGGAGGAGTTTTTATCATCCTATATATTCCCATGATCGGAACATTGAAAAAGTAGATGGTGCTTGCAGGTTGATGCAGCTATTGTCCGGATAATGAAAACCAGAAAGTGTTGAGTCATACTCTCTTGATAACTGAACTTTTTCAACAGGTAAAGAATCTTTAATTGCCATTTTCCATGTTGATATCTGGCTTCAGTATTTTCAACTAACGTGTGTGCTTCAAAGCTATTTAGTTTCTCTTCCGGAAAACTGGTAAGGATACCAATAATCTATACCAGTTTATTCGGGAAACCACTTTTTCCACCGTTGCTTCATAAGAAAGCATATTGGCTGCAAACTAGCCCTTTTTGCCAAATGCAATAACCATTTCGATTGTTTCTTCTGAGTGTTTTTGGAAAATATTACTGTAGCACTTATTGGAGAGATCGTATGTAAGATCAAAGGTAGTTGAAAAACATGAGAAAGTAAAACATTTAGTCTTTTAAGTAAGTGTTTATAAATTTTTCTTGGCAAAAATGAAGTATCAACTGATTCTTAACGTGGAAAGTATGTTTTAATGGCACAGCTCAAGTTTCCAATAAAACCAGCTGATTTGAAGAAAAGGATTGAAAGCCTCATAGACAGGGAGTACCTCGAGCGCGACAAGAATAACCCTCAAATATACAACTATCTGGCATAAAAAACTACAGAATGTTTAAAGTTTTTCATTGTAAATTACATGGGGAAGCTTGCAGTTTCCAATGCTAGGCTGCAAGATCATGACTGCAATGTCAGATTGTGTACAGTAATTCGTAGATGTTATTTTTGTTGTGCTGAGCACTGCAACTGTAAAGAAGGATACACTGTTACTATGTTTCCTTTTTTTTTTTTTTTTTGTCATTTCCAATATCGATTTGCAAGGATACATTATATGATTGGATCTTGTGGGTTACGTTTTGGAAGAAAGCGAGCCTCAGGTTTCATATTCTAAGAGAGGTTTTTGGACATAGTGCTAATAAATTATCCTTGCAGCTTCTCATATAGCTAATAATTGTGCTTTTGGTCACACACATAAGTGCGTGTTCAAGCTGGGGAAAGTCTACAAGAACACAGTTGGAGGAATTGATATTTGCTAAATTTTTCCTGTAAAAAGAGTGAAACGAATATTGTTGCCCAAGACGGATATTGTAAAGAACACAGTTGGAAGGTATTAGTCATTCAAATGATGCTACTGCCTCGAGACGTTATTGATTCGAAGCATGCTACAAAATCCACTAGGGAAAAATCAAAGGAAAACGAAGGTGAAAAAATTAAGGAGTTGGGAATGTAGGTCCCCAATTATGTAGGTGTTTTATATCTTTAGATTTAGGTTAGTGTAAAAAGCACGATCAAGACCTATATATGATTCAAGGTGTAATATTCGTGTTTTTTACTTTTCTTGCAATTTTGGAAACATTGAAATGTAGCACGGGCAATGGAGCCTTGGGAGTAAAATTAGAGCAACAACGGAAACTAGAGAAATGGACAAATGAAGAAAAAATACAAAAAAGGGAGAAAGAAGGTATAGGAATATTTGTTTATGTTGTAAGAAAAAAAGTGAGAACAATCTCACACTAAAGCTAAGAATCATATCCTTCAATAACCTACCACTACTAGATGTAATGTGTTTTCTCTAGAGCTGATAAATGTCATATGAGTATAAATTAATGCATTTCTACAGAATAATTCTTGTTAAGTCCATCATCACATGTTTTCTACCTCAACTATATAGTATTCCCTTCTTACCCTCTTGTTTGTTATTTGTCTTATCATCAATATTACCTCACTACCTCCTCTATGTTTTATAACTTGGAGTTGACCGATCGATTCGATCGATTGAACCAAAAATCGACTAGGTTTGCAGTCTAAGTCTACTTAAAAAATCAGCTCAATATAAACTCTATTAAATCCCGTCAAAACTCAATTGAATTAGGAATTGGTAAAAATCGATTTTATTGATGTATTTTGTTCAAAATTGATTTCTTTTTTTTGTTTCCTAAAATTCTCTTCATCTATAACAAACTTAATTCGTATTTCCAACAAACAAAGATTTGAAGTTCACAAGAGAAAAGTTCGAAGCAAATGGCAAGAATGGAAGAAAAAGAATATATATATATATATATATATATATATATATATCTGGGTTTTGAAATCTAAACTGTTCATTGATCTGAAAAAACTACTAGTTTAAAGGTTGCCAGTTAAAATGTTGGGTTAGCCGTAATTGCACTTAACGTCACAAGTACTTGTCAATACAACTAATAACTCTCACACATTAAAACTATGCAAATAGATGTAGAAAATTTACTCCATTTTAAAAATAATAATGTCAATCTACATTCTAATATTTTTAAGTATTGCGTTTTTGAGCTTCAAAAGTTTCTTGCGTTGAACAAAAGGTAAAAGAAATATACAAAACATAATTTCCTATATTATTATGTTACATTCTAAATTTAAAAGTAATTATAGGAAGAGGAATTTGTAAAATAGGTATGAAAAATTAATAAAAGACAATAACAAAGAAATAGAATCCGTTATGGGAAAGAAATGTAATTATGAGAAAAAGAGAGAGAAATAGAGAGTAGTTGGACAAAGCAATAAATGTAATTTTCACGTTCATGCATTGTACTTGGTGAGGATTAATTAGGCATGTCACCTTTATGAGATTAGTTAATCAATAGTGAAAATTTTGGGATTGAATTAGAGTAATAAACCAGTCAATTCATTAAAAACCATTTTGGTTCAACGATTCAATTTTATGAATTTTCTAGATCAAGTGATATTGAGTTGGTGTCTTTTTTTTTTTTTTTTTACTTCTACTGGGTTTAAGGGCTTGCTTAGACAAAAAAGTAAACTGGTCCACTAGTCAATCAATTCGATAGTCTAGCTCGAGTTGAGTTTTACAACATTCTCTATGGCTATTGTCATCTTCAAAAAGATCTATGAATGTAAAATAAAAAATAGAAGAAAAGAAGGAAAACAATGAAAAAATTAGAAACTAAAAAAAAGGAGAAGGGAAGAAAGCAAACGGCAAAAAGGAGATGAATGTTGGAGAAGGCGATATAAGACAAGGGATTGCCTTTTATGATTAACACTTTCTAATATTTTTGTTTTGACTCCTAATGTGTTGAAGAACTATAATTGCAATTTCTCTATGCAACTATACCATCATAAATGCACCTCAATTGTGTTGAATACTTGTCCTTTCAAAAAAATTTAGTCTCATAAATGTGCATTGGAACTTTAGAAACATTAACAATTAATTTTAAAATTGATTGTTATGTTTTACATAAAATTCCTTTTAAATGATTGATATTCATTTGTCACTCGGAAAGTTTGCAATTTGGTTATCTTTTACAAATTTGATGGGCAAGTGATATGAGGGTGAAACAAAAATGACATCACCGAATTCGACCAATTGACCTCTGATCTTTGAGTTTGGTCGAGTCACTATACAATCCGAGTGTCAAACATATTCTCATCTTCCAATTTTCTTGTCCCCATCCCTTTCTCTGCCATGCAAGTTATAACTCTTATTCTCATATTTTCTCTTCACCCATCACTTATTTCGTCATGTGTGGTTACCTCGCTTATTTGGTCATGTGTGGTTACCTAACTTCTTTTGTTGCACCCTTTTTCTACTTCCCTTCCCTATGGGTTTTCTCTCTTGGTCTTTTCCCTTGAACGCATGGTGATTTATATTGGTAGTGGTACAATGGTGATGGTGTTTTGGGTGGTTTTTGGTGATGGTGGTAACGGTAGCCATGGTGATTATGGTGAGCCCATGTGAATCAGAGAAAAGAAAGGAAGCATAAGGTGCGACAAATAAAAATACTACAACATTAGTGGCATCGCCTTTTTTTTCCCTCTTTGGGGTGTGACATATAACTAGAAATTGGTGTTGGGTTTTGGTTATCTAAAATTTGCACAATAAAGAAGAGGACCATAAAGTGCAACACAGCAAGGGCTATACTAACTAGCATTATATGCTAAAGTGTAAAAAAATGCAGATCCACCTTTTCTCTTAAAAAAGAAAAAATTATCTTTTTCTTGAGAATATGAAAGTCCTGTGGCAACTAATCATAAATCAATCGAGTGCCCACATTTTTCTTGCTAGGAGAAACATTGTATGTACTTCCTTTTCTCTGGTGTCAGAGTTAGCCCTTCGTTCTCGTTGGTGGAGGAGCAAGGAGAGCCACACCTTTGTTGTTATTGGTTGAGTGGAAGCTAAGAGAGGTAAGAAAGGAAATCTTTGTACTCATGGCTTCTTTATCTTCTAATGTTCTTGCTACTAAACCTAGAACTCTCTCTTTCCGTCGATCTAATTTAGATAGGCTAGGCTACTTGTCTGAAGTTACTATCGAACCTGAACAGATAAATCCTACCTCCCTACCTCTTAAAAATCCTTATTCCACTTTTGTTAAAATTTCTTATTCTCTTCTTCATACTATTAGTCCTTAAGAACCCTCCTCGGAGGAGTCCTTGGCACCAGAATCTTCAGAATCCTTATCTAGCGAATTTGTAGATGTAGTTCCAAACTTAGAACTAGCTCCAACAATCCACATGGTGAGAACTACTGATGAAACTATCATAGATCTCGAGCCTGATGAAGAAGAAGTTATTGAACCATCCCATTCATCGGGAAAGAGCAAAATAGGCACTCAAGCCTTTCATGATTGATGATATTCCTCCAACAAAATAGGCCAGGCGCTTTCAAGAGTTTCAAGCCTGGATTGTCTACTAAGAAATTAGTCAAGGAAAGTAACTATGAAATTCTCTCTAAATTCATTGCTAGACTTACTGGTACTCTCAAAGATTGGTGGACAACTCTAGGAGAAACAAACAAGATGCATTTTCTCACCCAGCAGGATTTCTCAATAGTCCTTGGTATTCTTCATATGGTTTTCCTTGGAGATGTTACAGCAGATAAAGAGGCTAAGAGAAAAGGGTTCTTCTACATGAAATGCCATTCCTACAATTGTAAAAATTTGGATAAACATTTCAAAAGAATGATCCAGTTATTCTATACCTTTGGTGCAGAAGTAAGTCTGAAGCAAGCTTTCTTGAGCTCGTGCCTGAGCCTCTTACAAATGAGCAGAGCTTTATATTCATCACAAATATGGATCTATCTTAGGATGAACTGCTAGACAAATTCACCAAGTTGCCTTCCATGCTTTGGACGATATGTGTCATAAGCGACACATTGTGTGCCAATATCTCAAAGGAGATCGTTGTTTGGATCAAGCATGTAAGCGACCTGACCTTGAAATCAAAGGAAGATGCATTCTTGTAGATCCTCAAAATGGAGATTCAATAGAGTAAAGGTCTATCCATCCACTCAATGCCAGTCAAACGGAAATGGAGATATTTTCAAAGGAGAAAGACTTGTTACAGCGGCTACAAACATAAGACTGACAAATGCATTTGTCACAAGAAGAGGCATTTTGCCAAAATTTCCCTCAGAACAAGAAAGGAGTTCATCTCATCTTTGATATCTAGCAATAGACTGAAATTCTTATGCATCCTGAAGACGGACCCTCAGATTGGATGGTCTTGGCATTAAATGTCCCGGATGATGATTCAAAGCTGTGTTATCATATCTCTTTGGATATTCCAGCACAAGGTGCTGCACTCCCAATCATGAAGTAGCCTCAGATAGTGGTTCATGTTCTTCCATCCAAATATGACAAACCAATCCCAGTCATTGCTTTTTTTGACACAGAAACTGCTATGTCAATGATGAACTCGGATATCGTTCCTGAAGAACTTTGGGAGTATGAAAAACATCTATTTTACACTGCTGATGGAAGATCTTTGATACAAAGCTAATCACTAAATAGTCCGTTATTGTCCAAATCCTGATTGCATAGTCCAGACAAAGATCATTGCTTCTGATTTAATTAGTAAAGACATTCTTGTTGGATTTGATCTCTAATAGCAATCAAAGAGATTCCATATTCTTCCTAACTGGATAAAGTCCAAGAAGTTCTTCAAGTCATTTATTGAAGTCCCCAGAATCCATCTGCAATAGTCACTTGAACAAATTGAGAATTTTCGCAAGTTCATCATGGAACAATGTTGTGCGAATTCTCATGTTGAGTTCCTCCAAAAGTTTTCCAATCCATTATGGAAGAATTCGGATTTCTTCATTTGACTTCCCTTTCAAGAAGAATGAGGATATCAATCCTACAAAGGCCAGCCATTCTAGAATGAATCCTAAACACTTATAGATGGTAGAACTAGAATGCCATGAGCTGCTACTCTCAGACTTGATCAAGAAATCAGACTCCTAATGGCTTGCGAGGCATTCCATGTCAACAAGTGATCCGAGGAGTTTGCCTAAATAGTCCAAGGTTTCGGCGTCATGCTTTTCGAAAAGAAAATGGTCTTAGCTCTCTTTCCTCGGCATGGACTTTTCTAGTGAATCCTTTAGCCTAGAAGCCCATATTGGTCAGGAACCACTCAAATTTCCAGATGACAATCTCACCCTTATGCAAATCTAACAATTTCTTGGAATTGTTAACTATGTCCGAGATTTTGTCCCTCATGTAGCCAAGCTCATCAGCCTTTTGGCCAAAATGCTAAAAAAGAATGCACCTCCATGGGGATCATCTCAAACAAAAGCAGTCCAATAGCTCAAGGCCCAACTACAGGATCTTTCTACACTCCACATGCTAGACAAGGGAAAACTGATCCTATAGACTGATGCAAGCGATAGATATTGGGGCATAATCCTCTTAGAAGACATGGATGGAGACCGAAAACTATGTGGGTATGCAAGTGGAAAGTTCAAGGAATCGGAGTAACATTATCATTCTACTTTCACGGAAGCGGTCAAATATGGAATTAAATGGTTCTCAGTTTACTTGATCGGCCACTCTTTCTTAGCAAAAATGGACATGAGGTGGTTTTCCAATATGCTTCAATTTAGATAGAAGACTATTCTGCACCTACAAATCCTTTGATGGGCCATGTGGTTTTCACAATATTCTTTTGTTGTCAAGCACATCAAAGAAAAATTCAATATGGTAACAGATTTCTTCTTGAGACCTGATCAAGTCAACCCACAAATCATGATGTTTATCTAGCATCATCTTCTATTCCACTAGAGTACCCTTCGAAGTTTCTATCCTTAAGCATTCCCTAGAAGTAGTCAGACTTTATAGAGCAACAGATTTTCCATGAACTTGAAATCTTTAGAAATTATGGTGAATCTATCTTGAATTATTGGGGTGTCCATCCAAACTACCCTTTCTCCTAGATCTTCGTTTGCTAGCCCAAGGATTTTCTTCAGCCATTGCTATGGTGTTTTTGGTACCATGCCACCAATTCTACATCCTTATGGAGTTTCACTACCCGTTGTTTAGGAAGGGGCTCTTTCACAATTTGGTCAAGTTCTTGACCTAGTTCAAGCCTTTTTCTTACTGGAACCAACTTTTTACCAAGCACTCAGACTATATGATCGCCCATTTATACTGGCTACTTCACTATCAAGATTTAGAAGTACAAGCACTACAATCATTTTTGATGTACCACCATTTCTCTTACATCATCCAAGTTATAGAAATAGAATACTCAGAAGCTCAACGCCATCTTTTCCAAGAAAATAAAGTTATTCTCTAGAAATTTGGCCAAGAAGTCATAGTTCGTGGAACTACAAATTCAATCATGTACATTGGGATCAAGTGCAAAGGGCCAAGGGTGATTATGCAGACCAGATATGCCATGCCATGCAGGACTCTCAAGATCCCTATGATCTTGGTCCTTTCACCCTAATGATACTGACATGTCACAATCTAATTGATCACCACCTAGAACAGTGGTCCAAATTAGACCAGACAGACAGAAGTAGCAGCATATAGCCAAAATCAAAAGAAGACTCAAAGACATCATGAAAAAGTGATGTCATGGATGATGTAATATAGTAGCTGATGTCATGTATGATGTAATAAGATGCTGGGTCATAGTCAAGATAGTTTGAATATTGACAAATGTCTTGCTGAACCATCAAGAGGGTTGACAAGTGTCTTACTGAGTCATCGGCAAATTTTACATGTGTCATACTGAGTCAGTAGTATGAGTGATAAGTCATTGTCTGGTTAGTGTATTAGTCCGACACGTGTCCTACTGAGTTATTAGCATGTATGATGAATCACGAACCTAGCTAGACATGTGGCATGTAGTTAAGATATTGAGTCATCAAGTGATATGGTGAGTCATCATATCTAGAAGTCAGGGCTTATGTAATTCTATCCTCCACTCTCCCTACAAAAGAGGATGGAACCTATGCTTGTAATCAAGATTAGGCTTCGTTAAGATTAGTGTAACGCCCCCACTTCTCCCTAAGGCAAACCAAAGGGTATCCCTAGTAGGCGTTCTAACCTCCAAGTCATAGGGTAACTTAATTGGTTTCAAATCTATTCCACTCATGAAATTAGGATTTACAAAAGAATGAGTCGCACTCGGATCAATTAAAATCTTAGCTAAATGGTGGAAGACAGGAGCCGTACCTTCAACCACCTCAGTCGCATCGGATATCTGTTGATGATCCAGTGCATAAACCTTAGCCGGTACCTTAGGTCGACTTCCTCCAGCACTGGTCTGCTTAGAGATTGACTTTTCTGGTTTTTGAGTGTTCCCTCCTATCTTCATTTTACTTGGACAGTTCGCAAGTTGGTGTTCGGTACTATCACAAGCCAAACACTTTCCAGACTTTCCCCAACAATCATTCACAGAGTAATTGGGTTTACCATAGTACCCACAAGTAACTTGAGGGGTCACTGCTGAACCACTAGAAGGCTCTCCCTTAACTTGAACCGGTCCACTACGACCTTTTCTGGATAAAGCTCCCCTTGAAGCTCCAGCAGTCCGTATTCCTCCCATTCCTCTTCCCGTTTTGGAAGGCTGTGCATTCTTACTAGCCTGTCCAGAAGTGTGGCTAGAAAAGTTCCGTTTCCTATTGTGAAAGTTCCTCACTTGCATTCTCACACTCTCAGCCCTTTGCGCTTTCTTTAAAGCCTCAGTAAATGTAGAAATTTGGACTGCGGCCAATCCCTCCTGGATTTCCGCATTAAGCCCCTGTACGAACCGTCTTATCCTCTTCCGTTCATTGATCACCAATTCAGGAGCATACTTAGAAAGTTTAGTAAACTTCCCCTCATACTCTGCTACACTAAGGGTCCCTTGTTTCAATTTGATAAACTCATCCTCCCTCTTTTCTTGGATTAAGAGAGGAAGAAACTTTACATTAAATTCCCTTGTGAAATTCTCCGAAGTACAAGGGGTTTGGGCTCTTTCCTACTTTCCCCTTATTACATCCCACCAAGCTAGAGCCAATCTCTCAAATTGGAATGCAGCAAAATTCACTCGCCTATCCTCGGTATAGTCTAAGGCAGCGAATATATTAGTCATCCTTTCCAACCAGTTCTCCGCTACCTCAGGATCAGGTTCACTAATAAACTTAGGCGGATTAAACTTCAAGAACCTCTCCAAGACTCTATCCTCTCCTCTATCTTGTCCCCCAGGTTGGTTAAGTGGTCCAGAACCTTGTCTTTCAGCCAAGCGTTCTAGGATATCAGTCATCTTATTAATGGCAGTAGCCACTTGATTACCCTCAATATTTTCTTGTCCCTGGGTCGGTCCAGTTGCTGATCCCTGGTCATTCACATGAGGTTGGGCCTGTCTAGTCCCTCGCCCACGGCCTTGACCACTCCTTCGTCCTTGTGTCTAGTGCAAGAAATAAATCAATTATGTAAAAAAAGTCGAAAACAAGAACCAATCAAGAAAATATTGGAAATACAATAATTTACATTCATTAGCATGTCAAGATCTATACAATTAACAAGTCATGGGGAAAATCACAAAAAATATAGCACACAGGTGCCACAAGAGTACTTTCAGTCATATAAGACTAAAGCAAAATCAAGTGCCTCAAAGTACGCCATACAATTATGCAAAATACAATGGTTTCAGCACTCGCATTACCCCAGCTAATCTTAACTGTACCAGTCAAAGGTCAATCGCTCTAGACCTAGTCCAAAGTAGGACTACCAAGGGGAACCTCCTCCTCAGGGTCCTCCTCTCCTGAACTGGGCTCTGAGCAATATCCATCATCCTATCTATCATCATGGTAGTATCAGCCAGGATCCCGGAAGCCCGATCACGGATCTCCTCTCCTACTCTAGCAAGTCAGGCCCTAGCCCTCTGAAGCTTCTCGCTAGTAACCGTAGCAGTAGCCATTTGCCTCCAGCACCTCTTCGAGCTCAGCGATCCTCTCACCCTGAGCAACCATCTGTCTAAACTCGTCTACCTCTTCCTGTAAATTCCGATTGGCATTCACCAATTGACGACATTTGTCGTCCAAAGCAAGTACGAGGTGGTTCGGGTAGGCAAAGGTTACCCTACACGAGCATCGAGGGTATCTAGTAGCAGGTGAGTAACGCACACGAGCTCCCCCATCAAGAGCTCGGAAGTAAATAGGTCTAGGAGGCTCTATGTGACCATTAGCATGGCCATTCCCATTAGTTGCGGGGGTACCATTTCCATTTTTCATCCCTGCAAAACAATTCACTTTTTGGGTTAGAAACTTAGTCACTAATATGCTCGGATATCACTTAAGGCAGGACTAAGTCGTTCTATCTCGGATCTTAAATGTAAGGTTTCTAGTATAACTCCCAAAGAGGTCTCTAATCTAGCACTCTGATACCAACTGTGACGCTCCCACTTCTCCTAAGGCGAACCAAAGGGTATTCGCGGAACGCCTGCCCAGTTCTCGCCAGGACTCACTCACTCGTATCTCAAGAAAAAACTAAGAACGTACATCCAACAAAAATGAATAACACATCCACTTATTATACATTGATACTCAAATCCAGATACAAAGCTTCTACACACCAAAATACTCCAAAGTGTTTACAAATCGAGTA